ATCATTGTAAGTTGCGTCGCGGTACACACGGTCCGCAATGTTTCTCGTTCTAGCTTCTATCATTGACATGTGTGTGCATTGATAGGGTTGCGACAGATGATTTATTAGTTAGAAAAGATCAGCAAAATGTGTGTAAAAGTTTGTGGATGTAGTATTATTGTTAGGGTGATTCACCACGTAAGCTCTCCTTCTCCTTTATCTGCTCGTTGGCTCGGACGATCAACCGAACGGATGAACATAGGAATGCAGACGGGCCCATTTATGTTACTTGAAATAAGCTAATTGATGTTTTTTTAATAATCATCAACATGATGGTCATGGACATCACTGACTAGTCTAGGTGTGATGCACGCGAACACGCGGACTTGGTAGTTCCACCCCTAGCTCTAATTCCTGGCTCCATCCCTGTTATCGTCTTACTTGGGGTGCACACAGTCGGGTTCGCTAGATGTTCTAGCTTTGGCATGCACTTCTGCAAGAAACACCGACATAAACTCCATGTTCGGCGCGCAGCTGCACACCAACGTCGGCCCCTGGGCTGGGGGCTACGGCAACCCAACGTCGTTCAAGCCATCTTCAACAACACCTTCTTCAAGGAAATTCGCCCCTCCCCTCTACTTATTATATATGAAGATGTCATTTATCGACATTTCTCCCCATATAAGAACTATGTATTTCAATGTTGTTCGAATTTTAATCCAGTTTTCGTGTTTGAATGCCTCCAATTATAAGTATGAACATTTAGTTGATGCAAAAAAAAGAAGAGGAGACATACTATGAAGGTTGCATATATGACGACTCTGACTTTATGCACGACCTCTAAAAATTATAAAAATGTGACTGGCATAACATAGCGTCAGCAAGTGTGCAGAGGGCATTGCCCCCCTCCCCCGCAGCACTTCACGGTGTTGTGTAACTTGATCAATGTTTCATCATTGTAAGTTGCGTTGCGGTGCACATGGTCCACAATGTTTCTCGTTCTAGCTTCTATCATTGACATGTGCGTGCATTGATAGGGCTGTGACGGATGATTTATTAGTTAGAAAAGATCTGCAAAATACGTGTAAAAGTTTGTGGTATTATTGTTAGGAAAATGATTGACCACGTAAGCTCTCCTCCTTTTCTGTCTGCTCGTTGGCTCGGACGATCAACCGAACGGGTGAACATAGGAATGCAGATGGACCCATTTGTGTTACTTGAAATAAGCTAATTGATGTTGTTTTAATAATGGTGCTAATAAAGAAATCAACATGATGGCCATGGACGTCGCTGACGCTTCTAGGTGTGATGCATGCGAACACGCGGACTGGTAGTTCCACCCCTAGCTCTAATCCTGGCTCCGTCATTGTTATCGTCTTACTTGGGGTGCACACAGTCGGGTTTGCCAGATGCTCTAGCTTCCGCATGCACTTCTACAAGAACATCGACGTCGACTCCATGTTCGGTGCGCAGCTGCACATCAGAGTCTGCCCCTGGGCTGGGGGCTATGCCAACCCGTCGTCGGTCAAACTATCTTCAACAACACCTTCTTCAAGGAATTTTGCCCCTCCCGTCTACTTATTATATATGAAAATGTCGTTTATCGACATTTCTCCCCATATAAGAATTGTGTATTTCAATGTTGTTCGAATTTTAATCCAGTTTTAGTGTTTGAATGCCTCCAATTATAAGTATGAATATTTAGTTGATGTAAAACAAATTAATAATAAAAATAAAGAGGAGACATATTATGAAGGTTGCATATATGACAACTCTGACTCTACGCATAACCTCTAAAAACTATAAAATTGTGATTGGCGTAACATAGCGTCAGCAAG